ATATCCATCCTGATTCCCTGATAGTTACCTTTTTCAATTAAAGTGTTCTTTATTTACCATCCCCCTTATCATGATGTCTTTTGTTTCATATGAATTCCATATTTTCAATTTTAAACATAAATTACCACTGCTTGATCATCCATCCCAAATTGAAATTGATTATTGAATACAAATAATCAATCAGATACTCGCATTCAAGACAATGCATCCAAGTAACTTATGTAACAAATTCAGAAATTATGTTATTTTGACTCAAAGGCATGAATAAGACCAAGAAACCATATTATTCATCAAAGGATGCGGCACGATGAGAGAAAGATTCAGAAGGGTCATTGGTAGGGTCTGAAAGCCAAGACGAGTCAAAAGAACGGATAGCTTCAAGAACAAGAGAGAACACCTCCCAAACGTTGTGAATGTCAACAACAGGTATTGTGAGATGCATCCCGGTTTCCAGCTCTTTGATTGCTTTGACAAACCATTTGGGAGACGTCTCCATTAATTCTGTCCCCTCCGGATAGAACGCCTGCTGTAAGGCCTCGGCAGCAGATATTGGCACTGGAATCAATCCTTGTTCGCCTCCGACCTCCGAGGGATATTGATAGCACCATTCTGCACTACATCGAGTTGGGAGCATGCTCTTCTTGTCCCATCGACGTTTGTAATTGTTATAGTTACTCGTCCATTGATCGAGACTTTCTTGCAGAAGTGGAACCCATAAGTAAATAAATAAAAGACTTTTGATGAATGCAATGTTAGTCAGTTTATTACCAAACCAGAGAAGCTGTGGATAAATAAACTTACTGCTCAACAGGATCTTGTGGATCATAGTACGATTCCTCCTCCGCCCGAAAGAGTTGGTTTATTAGCTCGCTGTTGTATTGCTTCATTAACTGCGACCATAGACACTCAATCTTCTGATTGTGGGTGCTCTTGGTGAACAGGTGTGACTGAATCGGATCTGGGCAGTCTGCATTGAACGATTCGGTGAGGTTGATCTGGTGGCCAGCCATGTGGATTGTTTCGGTTCCCCTGTCAGTAGATGTTCGGCGAGGTATGCCACCTTCACGTTTGACAAGCTCGAGATAGTAGTATCCAATGTGTCGGGGGTTGTTGTTGGTGACATGAACAAAGATTCCCAAAATTTTCCGGCTCCAAGCATCGATAAAACCATAGAGAGTGATCCCAAACTTCTTGAGTTTGTCGTGGCCATCGGCAGACCAAATGAAGTTCGGGCCGGGGGTGTTGAACACGCGACGCTTCAAAACCCTTTTTGATCGGTTATCAACACCTTCAGGATCAAGGGTACGGTTGATCAATGCAACTGTGAGACTTCATTCCAAACAAAGAAATATCAGAAATAATTCCACGGGATTATAATAACAGAGAAGACATAACACACTTATGAATGTTGAACCCATATTTCGTCTGTAACAATTGTCGCATCTTTCGGTAACCAACGTTCCGGCCTTCAGGGGTTTGATGAATTTCCTGAATGCAAGAGACAATCGTATCAATGTCAACCTTGTTGTTATCCAAATCGTCAGTTCGCCGTGTCAGGTTCATGGATTTGATCTTCCTTTCGAGCGTTCGAAAAGATTGAGTATAGTCGTGACTTGTTGTTAGAGCATGGTGGATTTGTGAATATGACAATCCTCGTTCAAAGTAGGTTTGGATGTGGTCTTCAAGCTGATTGGAATGTTCAGTGGCTTGAAGTATAAGTCCCCAATCTTCCTTCCTTCGTGTTAGTGTTCGTTTAGAGACGGATATGCCATGCGTGTCTTGAATATGTTTGCGGATTTCAGCGTCTGTCAGGCCAGATTCAACTAGAAGAGAAACCTCAGCCTCGAAATCGTCACCAAAAGATCGCATTGAGGCACGCATGATGGATGGTTGGTGTATGTAGTAATCTGGTGGGGTGGTGTTGAGTTGTTGGTGTGTGTCGAGTGGTTGGTGTGTGTCGAGTGGTTGGTGTGTGTCGAGTGGTTGGTGTGTGTCGAGTGGTTGGTGTGTGTCGAGTGGTTGGTGTGTGTCGAGTGGTTGGTGTGTGTCAAGTGGTTGGTCTGGTAGGGTCAGCAGTTAGTGAGAAGAGTGTTTCTTGAGCTCGGTTGCCAGCTGATTCATCGGTCAAAGAGCTGTGGTGTATGTGTTATGCGTTGAGGATGGTAGGTACTTTGGCTCCAGGGAGCTTATCACATAGTTTGTATGTATTGGAATGTTTGAGATGTATTGTCAGGGTGTATGACATACATGTCAGATCCACTTGGCCAACTTGGCGGTTGGAATCACTCATATTTGTTTGAAAATTGGGTTTTTCATTTTTCATTTTTTTTGGCCAAAGTGGCTGTTCAGTACCTCCATATTTATTCCACTTTTTACTTTTTTCTCATGTTTTTAATTTTTCCTCTTCTTTTACCTTTTTCCCCCCCTGGTTTCCCCTTTTTTCCTTTTTTTCCACCTTTTTCCCCCCTTTTCTGCCTTTTTCTCTCTCACTTTTCATTCCCCTTTCCTCTCTCACTGTTTCCCCCTTTTTTTACCTTTTCTTTCCCATTTTCTCACCTCACTTTTTCCCCTTTTTTACCGCCTTTATTACCTTTTTGCCTTTTTTTTACCTTTTTTTACCTTTTTTTACCTTTTTTTACCTTTTTTACCTTTTTTCTTTCCCATTTTCTCACCTCACTTTTTTCCCTTTTTTACCGACTTTGTTACATTTTTTTTACCTTTTTTTACCTTTTTTTACCTTTTTTTACCTTTTTTTGCCTATTTTTTCCTTTTTTTGTTCCTTTTTTTCCCTTTTTTTTTCCTTTTTTTTCCTTTTTTTTTCCCTTTTTTTTCCTTTTTTTTCCTTTTTTTTCCTTTTTTTTTCCTTTTTTTTCCTTTTTTTTCCTTTTTTTTCCTTTTTTTTCCTTTTTTTTTCCTTTTTTTTTGAGGTTATTCCTTACCTGCTGGGTTCCTTAGGGGCCTGGTATGCGGATCGGGTGCGAGCGGCACGCTTGGGCGTTTCGGGGGCCTTTGGTTGAAGCTGCGTGCTTCGATCGGCGTCGGTTGAGGTGGTTTTGAAGGGGTGGATGTTAATTAATAGGTGGAACGGGTCGTTTTTGGTCGGTCAAGGTGGTTCGTGGCTGGATTTGGGGGGAAAGAAAAAAAAACGGCGGGGGGGGGAAAGAACCGGGCAGGCCGCTTACGTGATCAAAACATCCCCGGGTGTTTTGATCACGTAAGCGGCCTGTCTCTCTCCTCCTTGGGAGGAGAGAGAACTTAATCAATACTTGATATCGATAAAGTTCTCTCTCCTCCCAAGGAGGAGAGAGAGCTTATGTGATCAAAACATCCCCGGATGTTTTGATCACGTAAGCCCAGCCAAGAACCTTACCGATTCGATATCGGTAAGGTTCAGAGACAGGAACCTTACCGATATCATCGGTAAGGTTCCGAGCTTGTCGAGGGGCGGGTCATAGCACCCGCCCCTCGCTTAACATACCCGCCAGGCCAAAACCGACCTATGTCGGTTCTTGGCTGGCGTGCAAACCCACCCGCCTCTCGAAGAGGGGCGGGTTCTTCTGCACGCCCCTCGGAAGCGTGATTTATTGAAAAAACACGCTTCCGAGGGGCGTGCGATCAAACCCGCCCCTCCTGGAGGGGCGGGTTCGATTGCACGCCCCTTTTGAAGGGGCGGGGGCGTGGGCGTGCGTGGAGGGGGGGGGAGTGCGATTATCATCGCCCAACAAATAAAGATGATGTAAGTTTAGAAGTCAACCCAACTGAAGCATGCGCGCGCATGAAGTGGGACAAAGCCCAGGTGGGTGAAAAAAATTCTCAAGGATCACAATCATATATACGACAAGGGTTAAATAACTGATTATTGGCTAACACAGTGAGATGGAAAAATCCTCCTGGATCCTGGAGCCCAAGGAGGTATCAGTGTGCCTTTTTTTTTCAAGAGGAAGTTGCGCTTAGTCTACACGAAAAAATGTGAGTTGTCGGAATCGGGACAAAAAACAATGAGACTGTGACTGAAGCTCCAAAGACTCACTTAAGATTAACTACTCTGATTGAGAGCAGGGGTACGGTGGAGCACGCTGAAGCAAAAGGACAAACTCTGGAATGATCAGAGAGTGGCCTTCTGTTTTATATATGTATGTTTAGATATAGTGAACAATCGTGAACGCAGAGACCAAAGGTTCATCCGCAGTTCGCCTTATACCAGACAGATAGCTAGCTCGAGTCCTGATAACTATCAAAATCATGCCTGCGCAAAAATCTGCTGGACCATGGCCGGACCAAGTGGGCACATGGAGTAGGACACGTAGAAGCCAGCTAAAAATGTAACATTGTTCTGTGATTGCGTGCTGCAGAGCTTCACATGATCCAAGTTTAGATTGGCAAGATGCGAAGCTTGGTGTAACTTAATCAGTCAGGACGATGCTTGAGTTTCAGAAACCGCCTGCATGTTTCCTTAACCTTTTTCGAATCTCTTGACCCTTATAACCTTAAAGTTTTTTTCCTTATCAGCCAGAGCTTAAGCTCGCCGATGTAGAGCCAAACATGATGGACAAGCACAGTTTAGTTTGAAACCATTCAAACAATCGAATGGTTTGTTTGCTGATTCCAATATCATTCAAACCGAAGCATCTTTGCCCGCGCCAGATCTGGTGGCGGTAAGCACCAGCGATTCCTCAATGGCATCGAAGCAGACTGGATTTGCTCTGTGATAGCGTACCACAGAGCTTCAGGAACATGCAAGACTTGCTGTAAACAAAGCAGGCCAACAGATCATGAAATTAATCCTCGGCTGCCGAGTGGCCACCCTTAGAATTACGACAACCTGAAAGGGTTTGCCACACCACAAGTCAAGTCCCTCACCAGCCGGCAGGCATGGGAGCAAAGCGCCTCGCACGAGTTGGTTGCCTTCATCAATTACAGGCACCGTCCAACATACATACACTGGCCCTTTGCTTTGGTTTCATTACAAATCCAGAAAGAGACAAAGTTCCACCAATTACTTCATTACAAAAGAATTGTCCTACCTCTTTTTTTACTTTACTTTATGAGCAATCATTTAGCCCAGTTGATCAAAACTGGAGGTGCTGTTTCTTTTTTGTACAAATCCCCTGAAAAGGCTATCTCGATGAAGCTTTGAGATGAGAAACACCGTTGCAGATAAGGTAAAAAACGACGACCGAATGTTGGATTTCAAAGATGAAAAGATGTTTTTTTTTTGTGTGTGCGTCAAGGAGTAGGGAAATGTGGGGTGCGAGTGAATACTAAGTTGAAGAATTAGTGTCATGAACAGAGGAGCTAGACTCTCGTAAGTCATCCACCCGGGCCGTTGTTGATCGTTGATCTTGTGGAGGTACGTTAGGCTCCGAATAAAATTGAAACTGGGAATGAGTTTGGTTGTCGAGGGTGGGGTGGTCTTGACGATGTGATTGAGGGTCGGAGAAGCTAGTCGAAGCTTGTTGGTCGAACGTATTGCCGAAAGTATTATCATTACTACTACTACTACTACTACTGTTATCGAATTTCTGTAATTTCGAGTTCAAGATCGTCAGGGTTGATCGGATCTCGTTCAATTCAAAGTGGGAGAGGTTAGGGATCTCGAGATGGTTTAAGAAATTTTTGAAGTTGTAGTCCCGATCCTGTTGGGTTTGTTGGTTTTGGTTACTCAGATTATATTTCAAACTCGATCGTAACTTGTTCTGTCGGACTTCCTTCAAATCTTTCAGGGTCTTCTTAATCTCTTCCAGTGAATCGATATCCTCAGCCGCACTAAATAAAGTGAAAACAAGACCAATCAAGACATCACTGGATTCAGTAAATCGTTCGACTGTGTGTGAAATCAAGAGGTCAGGAAAACCAGACTCAACATTTCGATCAACAATTTTGATATCTCGAACCAGAAGTAGGGTAATTCTGAGAGCTGGGGAGAATGGATTTCGAAGTGAAAGAGTTTCTTTAATTCGACCAGTGATAGCCACGCGGGCAGGACGACTTTGCCCAATTTCTTCAGCTTCAATTCGATGATCAACCAGACCGGAAGGGTGGTCACTTTCATCGGTCGCAAGTCTTCAAAGATCATCTCGGAATCCAAGTTCCTAAACTTGGCGATCTTGCGGTTTGGGATAAACTCCATCTTCTCCATCTTGATCATCATCAGTACCGTCTCCTTCGGCTCGATTGTCATCCTCTGGAATCTGGGTAATGCCATCGTGCTCCTTCAACTCTGTTTCTTTCTCTCAAAGTAGTTCGAAGGATCTCCAATTTTCGTATCTTCGTTATGTAGTCGTTTCTTGATGTACCGAGCGTGTGAAAATATTTCGTTTGGCGCCCTACCCCAATCCACAGGAGCTTCCCTTTATGCTGATTGAGACGATAAGCTTGGTCCTCTGTGGTTCATTGTTGGTTCCAATCTGGTGTTGACGATGGCTGGTGGCAGACGCGAAGGAGCCAACACAGACGCGAGTGGAGGAAAAGTCGATCGAGGGGATGTTGTTCGGCTGTCCCTTGGCTGTCACAGAACCTATTATTCTAGCCTCAGGCTCTCAGCCCTTGATGAAAAATCAAGCATTTTTTATGGAAAAAACGACATGTATTGAGGAAACTGTACTACTCCGGAGATGGGCAAACCGGACCATCTTCCCTACAGAAAGACACAAGTTGCAGATATGGCCAATTCACATGGACTAAGCACCAAAACTGGAAGAACTTGTAGAGTGGAGCAAAGGACATCCATTGCCCTTAGGGCCGGCCCTGTAGCAGGCCAATGAAACACATAGTGACTTGGGTTAAATTGGGCCTTGCGAGTGGACCAAACGTGGTAATGTTTGTCCGATGGCCACGAGGCCCCCCATAGGAGCGGAGAAGAAAGCCCGGGTGAATCTGTAGCAATGCAGCTTCAATCTCAACCCAACTCAGCCATTAGACAATTCAGACTACCAATCCCTCCCCCCCCTAACTTTGTCACTTTCCAAATTTTCAAAAGCCCAGATTCGCTAGAATTTCAGGTACGTCGATGGAAAAAAGGAGACACATCTTTTTGAGGTTGTCGGTAGGACAATATACAATACCCTTTGGTCAACTATAACTTCAATGGACATGCAAAGGGAGGAAAAGGGTGGGCATTCACAGGGTTTGGTAAACAGGAAAATTTGATGATGGGATTGTCTCTGTGTGTTGGGGGTTTATTGGTTGGGGAGACGAGCCATCAACCATTCTGAAAGATGTCTCAATTCGAGTGGCGAAGCACTATGGACCAAATCTAACATTTATGCGAAAAAAACCCAAGTCAGAGGATGTGATTCAGGAAACAAATCTGCATTGAATCTCGAGGTGAGCACTAAATGAGAGGGATGTTCTACTGACCTGGATAGGACCTAAAGTCAACATTTGTGAGTCCCAAGTCTTCCTTCAGAAAATCAACCGACTTGGCTCCCCATTGGTATCTATAACAAATGTGCCACAAGGAAACGATATCAGAACTTCCATTGATGAGCTGTTTCTGGTGACAAAGTAGAAACCCAACTGGACAACCGGATCATGCGTCCCATGTCCCCAAAAGACGTTCAGTTTGGAAGCGTGAGGGGTTTGGAGCTAAGGACAACCACAAAAAAAGAAGGAAACCAGAAGGTGAGCACGATGAAAGAATGATTGTTTTTGGTGGATTTGGAGATCAGTCAGCTGGATCGAAAGATGAAAGGAAGCGCAGACTGACTTGTTTGATCTTGTCTTTCAGGGTCAAGAATCCCGATAGGCAAACCACCCCGGCTAATGGGGAAGGACTCATGAGCCCGGTCAGGATAGAGATCGCCGCACCTGTTGTAGGAATCATCCACGAACATAATAGACCTGGTAAGACAATCATAGTCAAGAAAACCCCGAGGGCCAAGAGCACCCTCGAAAGTGACGCAAGAGTATGGTTGGTGGCAAATAACCTTGCGAGAAACCTCCAACGACGATCCGCTCAGAGGGAATACCCGCTTGGACTTGCTTCTCGACTAACGATTGGATCGTCTAGAGAGAACCGAACAGAGATGGGCGACAAGAAAAATGAAGGTTGATAGAAATAGGGGCGTTGTTAAGTCTGAATCGCCTGTCTTCAATCGAAAAAAAAGACGTGGAAAAAAAAAAGCGAAGATAGTGTGTTCACTCACCTTGACACTTTCGAGCAGTCCTTTTTCGTCCTCCGGGGCGTCTGGTCTGAGCCCTAGGATGTCAAACCTGAATATCAAGTCAACGTCAGTGATGTGTCTTAGATAGACGTATCCCAACCGAATGATAAAGAACGAGCGATATTTATCTCAATGTGAAACTGACCAAGATTGCATCCTTGCGCCCATGTTTAGAGTCACTGGCTGGACCGGGGCGTCAGGAAATCTAGAGCAATAGTTGAAGGAGTTAGTTTAACCTCGATCACAAGTATCGAGATGTGTGTGTGCAACTTACACCCTTAATGATGAACCAATCAATCGATACAGAACTAATTAATCTCAACCATCTAAAAAAAAAAAAAGGAAAGAGATCTTTCACGACGAACCAATCGACCCATGGCATGTGGGAGCCAAGCTGTTGGGCGAGGAAGGACCAACCAGCCGACGAGTCGCCGAGGCCGTGGCTGAAGATGACGGCGGCGGTCCTCTTGACGGGGGCTGCTGACATATTATTATGGCTTGTTGGTGGAGATCTGTAGGAGGGTCGGAAGCGGGCCGGAAGACGGCTGAGTATGAGTGGCTGGATTGCAAACGGGTCGTATCGGGTGATCGTGCTATACAAGAGTGCCGCGAGGAACAGTGAGAGAGTGAGGAGACCAAGCGTGCGCCGTCGGAGCCGACTGCCGAGTATAGCAATGTTGGTCGATGATGATGGTAGGAGTTCAGTATCCGTCAGTCCAACTGTGAATGGTTTCGAATAGTGAAGGTCAAGGGGAAATCAGTCTCAGGCCTCTCCAAGAAAAGAGCATAGATATGTATCTTGTCATGAAGACTCACAACAGTAAGAGCTCAAGCCCAAGAACCGAAAGTGTCAAGATAAGAATCAGGAAGCAAATCGGGCGCCCTCGATGATGCCAGTCTGCTGTTGGGAGTCTGCTTGCACAGCGGAACCAACTGTTGGGCCTTGGCTGGCTCAGAGAGAGAAAGCTCACCACCACCAACACTCTCTCCCTCCATCCACAACTCTACACCGCTTTCCTGAAACTACATAAATAGCATACTGCAGAGTGCAGAATCCCTACGGTTTCTCTTGTCTCTTGAGCAAGTTCACTCTTCAAATCAATCATCTCTGTTCGGTGGTATGACCGAAACCACCCAGGTTTCCCCAAGTCCCTTGATCTTTGGATCTGAAAACTTATGGTTGGACTGACTGACAGTCCCGATTACCTCACCACAGCTCCCCCAGCCATCACCCTACAGGATATATGTAGTAAGCTGACTGCATAGAAGTGTCTTGAAAAATAAATAACCAGCTTTTTATTGAGATATACTGATAAAGGTCCTCAGTATGGAGGCATTAGCGCGCCATTTTGGCCAAAAAATCAATAAAAATGGTACCCAAGTGCCAAAATGGCCACATAAGTGCCACTTTTCTACAATACAGCGCTTCTCAACTGCCAGCTCAAATGGCGAAGAACAGTTTGCAACTGCCAAGATTGGCAACCAAGCAACCAAGCTGCCATTTCACGCCTCTGAGATGCCAAGCATGGCACTGAGGGACCATTTGCGCCATCCATCCATCATCCAAGCTTCTGGCAACCTTCGGCTCTCCTCATCATTCATACAGGATACCAGACTCGACCCCATAGGCATCCTGACCAGTGAAGCGTACAGCACCTGGTCAATTTGTGGGTGATAACATTATATGCATACCTGTTCGAGTCTAAGACATTGGCTTCCCCTCACAACCACTCATCATAAGCTTAATAGATCTCCGACATCACTAAAGCATCAGCAGCCTGCATTACACTAAGAAGCAACTCTCCAACAGCACCCTCCAGTAGCCTCCAAGTCGCCAGATTTCTTCATTGCAAGCCATGTCATGTATCCAGTGTGGCAACACCCCTACCGTGCTGGGGGAGTACTGCCTAGAATGTGTCCGATCTGTTAAAGTCAAGCAACAACCTGCTTTCCAGCCCACCATTTCACCAACCCCTACCAGCGATTCTGTTGAGTGAGACACGGGGAACGAACACTGAAGTTCACAGACTGAAAGTCATGTGACACTTAGGAGTGAGAAAAAGATGGTTCTGATTTACTAAGGAAGAAAACCCCAGAAACAATCTTGTAGAGACTATATACAAGATTGAGTTGTGTTATGGTTGAAGCATACTAATATGGATATAAGCATACTATCTCAACACACCCCCTTGCTGAAAACCAGAACTAGTATAAATGAAGTGACTATACTACTTAAAATAACTAGTAGGTTATACTTCTTGTGGGGACAGAAATTGAGAATAAAAATCAAGTTAGAGATCCGGTGACACTGAGGAACAGGGAATTGTCATGATAACAAATATACTCCAAAATGCCATTACGGAATTAACTATCAGGTCGTGCCGGAGTTGCCCTTCCTACGAAATTAAGTTTTCTTCTACTTCAGGTTCATGCCCACACGACATCAATCTCTGGGTCGAAGTCGTCTTCCTCTTCTTCTTCTTCTTCATCCTCGCTAGGGCCGCCGTCGCCTAGACGCGCAACAGACACCGCACCGGCTCTAGCCTCGAAACGCGCTTTTGCCTTGTTCTTTGCGGGAGGGTTGGGACATGCCGACGAGTGGTGACCGACCTGACCGCAGTTCCAACAGCCCGGCTTTTTCTTCCTAGTGACCGCCGATGACGCGAAAGTTTCCGGCGTTTGATCGAAGGAAACTTGCATAGATACCTCGTGTGCCTCGAGTGCCCCGATGGCGTCGTCAAGGGAAATCTCGTTCGGAGAGTAGACGAGGTGGTCTCTGATCGGCTTCCAGGATTCGTCCAAGCCGCGCAGAAGACGATCACATACTTGCTGATCCGCAGGGGTTAGCTTCACCGACTTGAGGTCGGAGGCCGTGTTTCGAATCCGGGAGATCCAGGTCGCGATGGGTTTGTTAGGGTCGTGTCGAGCACACCAGAAGGAGTCTTGAAGCATCATCCTTCTTGCCCTGGTGTTTTTCTCATAAGCATCGCAGATAGTCTTGAAGAGTAGGCTAACTGGCTTTGTTTCCTTGTATCGCATCGCCAGATCGATCGAAAGCGTCATTTTCAATGTCGCTCGAGCCATATCCGAGAGCGTATCCCAGTCCGATCCGGACTCTTCGGCATAGTAGAGTCTCTGGGAGCCCTGAGTGAGGGGCTTGCTTTCTTTGTAGTCTGTCTCCGGGCGAAGTAGTCCTCCGGTGACGATATCGTGGACCCCAACGATCGCGAAGAGCTCCTCTAGCCTAGTGCGCCAGGAGGGAAAAGTTACCGAGCTACCATCGAGAGTCGGGACATTTCCAATGAGTGCCGAGGGATTTTGAATAGATCGAGCAGGCATTGTCCTTGTCGAGCGGGTTCGAGTTCAAGTTTTGAGAGTTTAGCGAGAAAAAAAATTTACCGCGAGCAGGTTGAGCGATGGGCCTCATAACCTGTTGAGTGAGACACGGGGAACGAACACTGAAGTTCACAGACTGAAAGTCATGTGACACTTAGGAGTGAGAAAAAGATGGTTCTGATTTACTAAGGAAGAAAACCCCAGAAACAATCTTGTAGAGACTATATACAAGATTGAGTTGTGTTATGGTTGAAGCATACTAATATGGATATAAGCATACTATCTCAACAGATTCAGTCACCGAAGCTATGAGAATCAAGAGGGAAGAGGCCATCAACCTGGCCCGAGGTTTATATGGTATACCAACCCCATCTGCTGGATCCCTTTCTGTCCCCAGCTCTATGAAGCCACCACCACCACCACCGGTTCACAGTAATCTGGGTTTGTCTTCCTATTTACTAATACCCACATATATGCAAAGCCTTGAATTATTCCATTTCTCTTCCAGTGCTGCCACAGAACCCCGATTTTCCCTATGCCTCTGCTAGAGCACAAAGGAATTCAGCCTGCAAGCCATATTCAACCACCCGTCCAAGGCTAGTGATCAAGCAATCTGCCTCTGGCAAAGGAGCCATCCCACTCGAGAATCCTCCCTACCGGGTCTCTGTCCAATGTGGATTCGAGGTGAGACACAAGAACAAATGGGTCTCCAACCAGGCGCCAATGCGTGTGGCTACCTGGATTTTCCCTGGCGACCCCAACGCACATCAAGCCTTACTTCTCGAGCTCACAAAAAGACACGAGGGGAAAATGCAGCTCCAGATCAAAAACTACGATGGTCGGCTATTTTTTTCTGAGAAGCACTTCCCATTCTGCCGCCTTGGTACACAAAAAGGATCAGTCATCGACCAGGAGGGATTCATTCAATTCCTCAAGGAAAACAAGGCAATAGATCTACTCTTGGACTACGACGAGTTTGAAGACCACGAAGAAGATGAAGAAGAGGCATGTGGCATGGAGACCCAGTCTAGGCAATATGCCCTACGGTCAGCCACCTCTGCTTCCTTCAACAGCCGGGCAAACACACCTTCAGTTGGGTCCACCTTGGCGATATCAAACGACCGAGAAGACTCAACTTTCTCACTTCCAACCATTACCACCAAACCTCCGGTCATAACCCGAGAGAACTCGCCTGATATTGTGGTTTCTACGTCTGCACATCAAATTGGTCTTGGCTCAATAAAAACGCCAGTGGATCAAGCGTTGGAACCTGTGGTTATCTACAAAAAGTCACCCCCATGTAAGTAATGATTTACACATATAGCTAGTTTATTTCTCATAATAATGTGGGTCTTTTTCGTTCTACAGGGTTGGCACCAGCAATTCTTGACCTGAAGAATCTTTCTTGGGACCGGTTTGGAACTCCGGAGCACTCGAGCACCTTTCGTGGCCATGACGATACTGGCTGGGCCAATGGACTTTGTAGTCAACTTGATCCCGATGGTCTATACATCACCTTGAGGATCTGCTCATACCGTGTGCACTACAACCAGGTCGTCAGAATAAAGGATACCAGCAAAATAATCCATGCTGAGATACTGGACTCCGGGGTGATCTATCCCATGGTAGCTGAATACACGTTGGTTCGGAAAAATCTCCGCCAAGCAAATGAATCGTATGAGACGGAGCCCAACTACGCCATGAGGACTTATGCGGTTTCTCGGCAGTTCATGGCCCTTTTCTGCAAAGTGATTGGGTCATCCAAGGCCTCCTCAGATGAAAGACAATTGGCCTCGACCCTACGAGTGAGTTATCTGATCCAGTGGCTCATTATTTTCCAAAAATTCAATTTACTCATCCTTTTCTGGTTGCCGAGGTCAATAGATAATTGACGGGTTCCCAGTTCACGACGATGTCGAATGTGGAAAAACCAACGAATGTTTTGATTACTTCCAGGAGAATGACATGATTGATGGACCTGGTTCAGGGGATGGTAATGGTAATAATACGTCCAACATCGAGGAACCTTTGGATAATGAAAAACCTCGCCGGGTATTCTTCTTCCAGGAAAAAATCGAGGGATATCGCACTCTCTTGCCGCCTATGGCCAATGACTATGGGATCTCGAATGCCTCCAGCCCGATTGACAAGATCTTGCATGCCTTTCAACACTGGGTATATGTATCGACCAAGGGCCAGATGATCATAACCAATCTCAAAGGAAATCCTCCATTGATCACCAAGCCAAAGGTCATCAATGTCAATCCCAGGTGAGCAGACCAGGAAGAAAAACTGAGGTCACAAGAGCTTTCTAATTTTTCCAACTGCTTTCATTGTAGGTCTTATTGGTATCAATGCCAAGATACAAAAGCGATGATGGCCCATTTCCTCAAGAAGCACACATGCACGAACTTATGCCAAGTGTTGGGCCTTCCACCATTGGTAGAAATTGTGTGGACCCCAACAGCCAAGTCCTTAAGGCCGCATCAAGAATACGACCTCAATAACATCAATCACAACTCAGCCCAGCCCCAAATGACTAGTGATCAGTTGGAGATCCTTGCGGTAGTCAGACAGGGTCAGAAAGCCCTTGTGTCCAAATTATTCTAGTTTTCCATATTTTGTCATTTGCATCACACATCTCTTTCACATGCCACTTCATTTGTTTTCTCATTTGGCCTTGATTTCCAAGTTCAATTAGTTTATGCAAGAAATAAATTTCGTGAAATATTATGTCTTGTTTGCAAAGGTCCTGATAAATTTATTGCAAATTGGATAAGGTATCACAATCATTCTCATTGAATGCACAAGTCTGGGGCTTCAAATAAATGTGGAGCACCACTGGAGATAGAAGAAAATGACAAGAGACTGAGGAAACTGGCAAGATATTCATTTCGGTTAAAAAATGCACAAACTACAATCTACTTTAAGTTTTTTTTTTGTTTTTCTGCAGTGGCTAATATATAGTTTAAATCACCGTCATGCATATTTAAATATGCTCCTTCTTGAGTTTTAATATTCTTGAAAACATTGACTGTCTTTTTGTTTAGCTGCAACGAAAAAGCCAAGCGATTAAAGGTTGAATTGGGTTGTGAAAACATGGTGAAATGCTTGTAATCAGTAGACCGCCAGACCACTCTCGCTACCCCATCCAAGTTCTCAAAGCCTAATCCGAACCGACAGTCTGGAAACACAAACTCGCCACCAACAACATTGAACCCCTCAGCATGAGTAGCAACCTTACCAGTCTTCGCAAAAGTTGGGATCCATTGGACATAGGCAAATTCTGAAACATCTTGATTGTCTGTGTGAGGTGAATTGTAAAATCCACCGTATGTATAGGATAGAGAACTCGCTGCTGAAAAATTGTTTACTTCGAGATCGTCTAGGGTTGCATCACCAAAAGAGGGCATGTCGTATTCTACCATGATGTCATGGTTCTTTGCAAAAGCATTGTCGGCTAGATCCTTGAACGATTTGCCGATGATGACGCCAGCTTGATGTCCCCGTCGAACCACAGAGGTGAAGCCATGAACATCCTTGTTGATTTTCGCCTGAGATAAAAACAGGCCAGCTCGTTCATTGGGTTTCATGCATTTCCTCCAACCGAGCATATTCATTTTGCCACCGAGACATGCCGAGTTGAAGTTGGAAACTGGATTCACGTATTTCTTGTGGGAATGGAAGAAGCCAGCTAGGAAATCGAGATCTTCTCTTTGGTCGGGTGTCATCTTGGAGAAAGGTGTAAACTGAAATATTCCGACTAGTCGATTCTGATTATATTCATCAAATATCATCACGTGACTATCGGGACGGTTGAAGATACGGAAACCAGGGGCTTTAATGAAGTTGGCTGCCTGCAGGATCGAGGCTGGAGTGAGATATTTCTTCTTTTTGCGTTGTCTGTACTCATCGTAGAGGGATACCGGAGAAGGTCTTGCAGTGAACTGATATAGCCCCTTCTTGATCTCAGTGGAGGCTTCGTTCCCACTGGCTTTTCGAGTTTTTGACGCCATCGCTTCTTACAACCTTCTTTTCTCTTCTTATTCTTAAGCATCACTCGAACCTGTTTGGCTGTGGGGGGCCTGCATTGATAGATAGAAAAAAAATTATGAGTATCATGTGTACATAGGATTTAGAAGACATATGAAGGATTTAGAAGACATATGGATGCATTTCGGGGGCTTGCTAGATCTATTGGCCATTCATTCACCACATCAAAGCAAGCCCCTATGCACCCATTTTATAAGTTAATACTGAAGGGATATTGACAGATCTATTGGCCATTCATTCACCATATCTAGCCAATACCCCCTCCCTCAATGTTTTAACAATTAATTGAAAGTTTGATTAAAAAGAAATTCCAGCGCACCCAGTTTTGTAATCCTTATTATGTATCAACAACCCCCGCGCCTGCCGAGGAATCATTTTAGATTTGATATTCATTGTATATCTAGGAACTTGATCGACAAGAGAATAAAGGAAGATTGATAATAATCAATGAGCTGCCTTCTGGGGATCAAACTGGATCATTAGATTAGGGGATTGGGGAACAGACCCGACAGGGGAGCAGATCCTTTAGACAGTTTATCAATCAATCAGTTTGTTTATCAATCAATATGTGGATTTATCTATCAATTAGAGGGTTAAATGATTGATCAGTGCATTTATCAATCAATCGGTGCCCTTATCAGATGAATAGAGAGTTTAACAACCAACCAGAGTATCTATCAATGGATAGGAGCACTTATTGGTTGATT